TCAATCGAGGTGAAATTGACTGTCAATGACATGCCATGGGATGAAGTGGAGCGTCCGTGGGGCTTAGAAGGACTGAGCAAAATTTTTCATCTAAAACGTTTTTCAGCACAAAATGCACACTCAATGACATCAAAATGTTTACGGAATTCATGTCCCTTTTGCTGAATTGTTTCAGATAAAAAAAAGCCCCACAAAACAAAAACAAAACAAAATCTAAATGTTTTAAGTTTTGGTTCAAAATGAATGTTTGTCTCAAACATTTCTTTAATTTTATTTTAAAAAAATCTAAAATATTTAAAATCAAAACAAAATGTTTCACTTGAATCTTTTTTCAACTTTTTGATTAGTCAAAAATTAAGAAAAAAATGGTTTTCTGTTCAACGCAAAATGATTTTTGTACTGATTTTTCGGAATTGCCTGCGGGTCAGAAAATCCATTATTTGCCCCATTCCTCAGCAAATAGTCGTGCCTGGTTTACTTGCTGCAGACTGCTTCATATCATAGGCTCAGCTTCCTCTTTGTGTAAGCACAAGAGCCGACTAACCATACAAAGCAGAGGCAGAAGGAGATCCGGCGTAGGACAGGGGTCCGCACCAGGTCGAATAAGGTATAGCTGCTCTTTGCAGAGGCTATTTCTTTCTGCATGTTGGATCTCAAGACCTGGGGAGAGAAGAGAATTCTGGGTAACGGCATGGGGCCTCCATGGTGGGAAAGGCCTGGAAACAGAGCAGGGGAATGGGAGGGAATGAAATTCCGGATCATCCAGTGGTGCCAAAATTCTAGTTCAGAGGAGGCCTCAGTCTAGACAAAATAATGCGTATGTGTAGGAAGGGATGGATGGATGGATGGAGAGAAGGGTGTGCATGGGGATGGATGGATATTTGGATGGATAGAAGCATTTGTATGGGGATGGATGGATAGAGAGGTGTCTGGGAGGGATGAAAGATAGATGGAGATGAATAGAGATTATGTGTATGAGTATATGTTTATAAAAGATAGGTGTTTATGTCTAGAGATGGATACATAGATGGCTGGATAGGTGGTTATGTATGTACAGCTGTAGGTAGAGAGATTGATAGACGATACCTTGTACGTGTGGGAATCCTATTGTACGAGAAAGAAGTCAGACCATGGTGAGAATTCCATTGCTTACGGAACACTAAAGCCAGTTGCGCCACTGGTGTACATGTGCAGAGTCCCCATGACATGAGTGCAACCAGGCTGATTTATATCTGCTTGTCTCCTGTGTCTATATCGGCCGCTGGAGTTGGTGGGAGCTCTCAGCCTCTCTGAGATCCAGTCTTACCTCTATGTTGAGTTTGTCTCCTTCTTCTTTCTTCCGGTTTATCCTGGCCACTCTCTGGAGCTGCTTCACTGCCTCGTCGGGTCTGCCGGCTATTACCAGCCAGCGGGCGGACTCAGCGAACCACCTGGGAAGCAGAAGATATGAAAACACACCTGCACGGAACACGCACATTGCTCTTGTTGAACTGCGATGAGCCCCACTGGAGCACGGTGCTGTTCTTCTACACTAGGGGCAGTGCCCAAAGCCAGTGCAGGGTACAAGCAGTGACAGAGGCAGCAGGGAGCATGTTGTGGAATAGCCTCCGTGGAACCTGCATTCTCTGGTCTATCTCCTCCCCCCTGCTACCTGCAGCCCCCTGGCGAAAGCCAAGTGTTACTGCAACCTGAGCCTCCATTCCCGCCAGGAGACTGCCCAGTGGCAGCAGGTGGTATTGCACCTTGCCATGCATCAGGAAGGAAGGATGGTGATAGCTGAGACCTGACTTCAATTCCCTGCTCCCCTGTCACTTAGTCTGTCTCTGTGTCTGAATCCCCTCATCTGTACAATAGGGTAATAGCACTGCTCTCCCTCAGAAGGGCGTTGTGGTTACAGCTGGTCGGCACTTTTCTGCTGAAATATTTTTCCATTGAAAAATACGGGTTTGTTCAAACTGAAACTGTTTGCAGGTAAAGGTCAGTTTCAATGAATCTCTTGATTTAAAAAAAAAGAAAAAGTTTCAGAATTTGTCCTTTGTCAAAATTAAAAGTTTCAACAATTTTGATCATTTACACTAAAAAAAAGGGGTGGGGATGTTAAAAAATAAACAAGCCCTGAAGACCCAGTCATGGGGCAGAACTCCATTGTCCCAGGCGCTGAACAAAAAGACAGTCATTGCCCCAAACAGCTTATAATCTAAGGACAAGACAAGCAACAAAAGGTGGATACAGACAGAAGAGCACAAGGAAAAAGTGAGACAATATTGGTCAGCATGATAGGCAATGATCTCTGCACACCAGCAACCTAACCGTTGTCAGGGGTTTTTTTTAAGCCACACAGCAAAGTAGAGTTTAAAGAAGAGTTTGAAGAAGGACAATAAGGTACCTTTGCTGATGTTTACAGGGGAACTCCTCCCAGGTATGAGGGGCAGCATGATAGAATGCACAAAGGTGCTTGTTTGAAAATTTAGCAAGAGGGCAACGCAGGCAGGCATTCTGTACCACTCGGAGTTGGGAGTCGGCATGGTTCTAGTGAATGACAGATGGGATAGGTATGGTGCAGTAGGGCGTGAACGGCTTTGAAAGTGAAGATGAGTAGTTTATGTATGATGTGATGAAGAATGGGAGCCAGTGGAGGGCTGCAAAGAGAGGTGACATGGACAAAGTGATGAGACAGGGAAATGATCTTTGCAGAAGTGTCTTGAATGGATGTAAGTGGAGCAAGATTGCATTTGCCAAGGCCGGAGAAGAGGATGTTGCAGTAATCGAGATGCAAGATTCTGAGAACTAGGATAAGAGATTTGTTTATTCTACTTGCTTAAAGTTTGTCTCATTCTTGCATCCAGTGAGAAAAGCAGGATGGAAGGGGAATGGATCAGAAAGGATAAGGGTGAGCTAACCTACCAGGAGTAGATGAAGCAGATGAAATAGGGCAAAGACACCACAAGCTGCAGCCAGCGCCAATTGGGGATGGCGTAAGCCACCCCAGCCAGAATGAACAGCCCGATTGTGTAGCAGTATCCATACATGGCGCCCACAACGGCCCGTGTGCGGGTGGGTGTCCATTCCACAGCTGGGGAGAGACACACACAAAGGGAAAATAATCTCTCTGTCCTTGGGCTGATGACCTCCAGTGGTGAGAACAAGCATGAGCGGAGGCAGCAGGAACATGTACAAACAGCTTTCCCCTGGCTCTTTGAGGCTGAGATGAAATAGCTCCCCAAAACCTGCATTCCCTGAGCCATGCCTCCTTCCCCTGCTAGTTGCATCCCACCTAGTGGTAGTAGGTGGTACTGCACCCTGCTGGAGGCACTCCATTCCCCCTCGCCATGGCAACAGCCAGTACTGCGCCCTGCAGCAACTCCACCCCCTGGTGGCAGCAAGCAGTACTGTACCCTGCAGGGCTACAGCTGCACCAGTCCCGCAGTGGCAGCAAGCAGTACTGCCCTCTGCAGGGTTGCAAACACTCCAGAAGACCGCGCAACGGCAGCAGGCTGTAGTGTACCCTGCAGAATTGCAGCAACTCCAGCACCCCACAATGGCACACTTATGCACCCTGAAGTACATCAGCCACAATACACAGCTGTTATGTAATTGAATAGTCTGAGTCCCATTAGCCTCTGATATCCAGCTGCCCCTGGGTCCTCTAGTTCCTAGAGGACCTGTATACATTGTATAGTGCAAGGGACTTTCTAGAAATGAGGAGGGCATTCTGCAGTTCCTGGCTGATGCACATGGCCTGTGCCTGTTCTGTAGAAGACATATTGTGGAATATCTGTTCTGTTGTGAATCATCGTCATCTGATGACGGCACTCCACTCTAATAGCTTCCCTTCCATTCTTGGGGACTGTAGGGGTTCATCCCCCTCCGGGGCGGCTGGGAACCAGGCCGCCTCACTACTTAGGTCCGGTGAGTCGGGGAATTAGCCTGGCTGTGCGGCAAACAGTCGGAACCTCAGGCCCTCAGGCCGGGGCTGAGCAAACAGTTTTAGAACAGCAGGCCCAGGCCCTGGGTCAGGGCGGGGCAGTAGAGAGTCTGTAGCTCAGGCCTTCAGGCAGGGGCTGAGCAGACAAATAAGTTTAGGAGTCCCAGGTCCTGGCTCCAAAGGCCCTGGGAGAGGGGGAGACTGTCACCCGCATGCTGGGTGGCAGGAGGGATGCAGACCCACCCACTCCACTGCGTCCCAGCCAGGGGCTCTAGCAGCGGCAGAAGACCCACTGCTGCATCGGTGGGGATCTTGACTGCAACACACTGACATTGGCTCTGGGTGTGCTGCAGCCAGACTAGGGTCGGCTGGCCCCAGGCTACTTCCTACCTCCCCAACTAGAGGTACCTGCGTCTGGACAGAGTCTTCCAAGGAGTCAAGCACCATGGGCTCCTCTGGGTACCCGGCAGGCAGTTAGCTTGGCAACTCCTCTGGGTAACTTGCCACAGACGAGTTTACCAGATTCTCCGGGGGCTGGTCGGCGTCTGGCAAGTTCTCAGGTCGGCCACAAACTGCAGGAGTCTCCCAACTGGGAGCTAGGCCACAGGTGTCTGGCTTCTCCGGTGGCCAGGCCTCTAGTGAGCTCAGGGGTTGGGCTTTTCTACTTCCTGTCCTGCGCCCTGACCTCTGCGGGGCGGGTGCAAGCTCCACTGGCTTCACCCACTTTGGCGCCGGAGGGGTGCGTCTCCCTCCGGGATGGCTTGGAACCAGGACGCCTCACTACAGGGACCTGCATGCTATTGGAAGTTGCCCTGTTTTGTGGCATCTCCTGTGCTCTGGCACCGCAGAAGCACATGGAGGTGGGATTGTCCCAGAGAACTCAGTTCTCGTTTAGGTACCACATTCTCAGAAGAGGACAGGCTCAGACTTCGACGTGCAAAATACCTCCTAAATAACGTGCTCAGGTCTTTCTCAGCTGTGGCAATCAGTGTTCCAAAGGTAGCTGCTGAGTGCTTTGGTAAATCCAGGTTGGAATGGGACCTAGGACTTTTGGAAAATCTAGCTCCCAATTTTTGGTGCTGAGATCTTGGACATCCCACCCATGTGGTGTGTGCTTCTGGTCTCTGTGTGCTCCCACCACAGAGTAATTTATCAGCAGCGGGAACAAGGCACCTCCGTCTATCCCCAGTAACCAGCTCATCTTGTGTCTGGGATGGCAGGCGACAGACACACTTACACAGAGAGACACTGTTCATCACAATGCCCGAGATGGCCATTCCGGTCAGGAAACGGAAGATGCAGTAGGCAGTGAAGCTGGGTGAGAAGGCAGTGCTGGTGCCCGTGACAGCCATCTGCAAGTAGCACCAGATCAAGGGAGACCTGCGGCCAAACCTGAGCCAAAAAGAACCAAGAGAACAGGTGAGGGAAACCCAGGATACTGAGGCAAGTGTGTTCAGAGTAGGAGTTAAACCTGGTGCAAGGAACTATTGGTGCCATTGACTGGCTTGGGGAAGGGGCAAAGAGGCAGGAGGCCTCAGTTCTAAAACCAGCTCTGTGACACGTGACAAAAGGTTATTGATGAAAATACTTCATGTCAGCCGTGCTGTAGCTGCTAATGATGAGGTCTGCAGGGCTGGATTAAGGCAATCTAGGGCCCTGGCAGTAGGGTTATCCCCTGGCTGGTATTTGACTGTTAGAAAAACATGCAATCTTGAGTTCAAAATCTCAAGGGCTGGAGAATCCACCGCAGCCCTTGGGCCGTTGTTCCAATGGTGAATTCCTTTTGTTGTTAGAAATTTGCACCTTATTTCCAGTCTGAATTTGTCTAGCTTCAATTTCCAGCCACTGGCTCTTTCTCTGCTAGATGGAAAAGCCTCTTATCAGATTGCTGCTCCCCGTGTAGGTACCTATATTAGGGTTACCATATTTCCACAAGCAAAAAAGAGGACACTGGGGGGGGAGGAGCCCCGCTCTAGCCCCGCCCCTGCCCCACTCCCATCCACTCCCTCCCACTTCCCACCCCCTGATTGCCCCCCTCAGAACCCCTAACCCCCCCGAATGCCCCCTCCTGGGACCCCTGCCACTAACTGCCCCCTAGGATCCCACCCCCTAGCTAAGCCACCCTGCTTCTTGTCCCCTGACTGCCCCCTCCTGAGAACCCCCTACGACCCTACCTGTCCCGACCCTTATCCACACCCCCATCCCATATTCACACCCCTGCCCCCAGACAGACCCCTCGGAACTCCCATGCCCTATCCAACTGCTCCCCACCCCCTGATAGGACCCCCAGAACTCCTGACCCATCCAACCCCC